GCCTCAAATGGGACCCCTCGCAGCTCTCGGCCTGGCTCCACTCCACCTCCAAGCTACATCAAAAAGGGACTTGAGAATGACAGAAGTGTTTCATACTGGCACATTCAGTGACTGGACCAGATGGAGTCTTTGTTCTTTCTCTGAAACACGCGGCGTGCACACGTCTGTGCACAAAAACGGGATGTGTGCAAATGCATGCACACGCGTGCACACTTCCTCAGCACACAGCAGTATAAAGCCAGGATTGTGATGATGGGAGGGGGTGTGATTCTCTTGTCCTCCGTTGTGTTCACATTAGTCATATGCAAATAAGCATTGTGCACAGAGAATAACACAAATCCACCATGGCTAAATCCTTAAAGAACACTAGTCATGGCTATTTAGCTAACATGATTTATTAAGGTGATTGACCTAGTTAGCACACAGACCATTTACGGCGTTTGCTTCAGGTACTGGAGAAATTGAATCTGTCATAGCTTGGATTTGAAGAACAGGATTATTATTTTGAAAAAACAACATTTATTCACTTTTCTACTTTATGTCTTCACAGTCCCCAAATTAAGGCTCCTGGGCTAAAGTCATTTTCTTTATCTGGGCAGATGTTGGGGAAATAAAGAAGGCTTTTGGATTAGAAAATGATGCCGACATGTGCAACATTGTGTCTTTTATTTCCACCTTTATAGAATAGCTTTTTGTTTTCTCTCTTAAAAAATAATGACTGTTGTCTGCTTCTGTGTTTGTTAAGAAGGTTTTGTACAAAAATCATTATCAGTGGCAGTAAGTGATGTTAGGAAACCACAGCTGATATATACTGTAAGTTATTATAGGTTTATATTATTAAACGTTTGCCAGCACATCTCCAACACTGTAAAGCAGGTTATTTCAAGAAAATGTACTTGGGTCAACCAAGAACTGTCTGTCATTTCAAGACAGACTGACATCTTTTTATGATTTGCTTCTAATACGTTGATCCAAATACAAGGTCAGAATGAAAAAAGGAGTCTAAAATCAGCTGGAAACTGTAATTCACTGTACTTTCTTAACTGCTCACAGTACTCCACACGTCCTTAAATAACATTTCAGCCAACACCACTACAGTCAAAAGAAAATCTTAGGTTACATTTGTAGTCATTTGTAAATGTCAGTGTAGCTCTGTTTTGGGACCTCCCCACCCTTCCTCATAAAGCATAAAAACATAAGGAGCTCGCCTCCCCACTCTGGAGGCAGCTGGAGGAGTGAGATCACTAGCAAAATCCCAGCATAGAACTGAGCAGTAAAAGGGGTGGAATACAGGTGGGTTGCAAAGTGGCTTGCAGAGATACCGCAGCTCTGGGCAGGTTAAGTCAGCATGGACTGTTTCACTGAGGTTTGGCGAGTGGGATGTCTCAAACAGCTTCAGCCGAGCCATCACCTGGTGACACTGAGATCAGCTGATCTGCACAGATTGCAGCTGATCTTCACTTTGTTGCCTTTTGTGAGCTGTTAAATATTTTGGTCCCTGTAAAAATCCCACATTGTTGTAATCTTGACCACTGTGATTGTGTTGCTTCTATTTTTGACAATTCTGCCTATGATTTTTTTCCCCAAGTTATTTATTCATTTCTTGTTTTTCATTGTATTGTCTATCTTTTGGAGGAGCACTCCATCTTGCTGTTACATTAGGGTATTTGTACATGATAGTGCCACAATATTTAGCTTTCTTTTTTTTTGTTTTGCCATGACATTAAAAGATTTATCTCAAACTCCAAACTTTATGTTAAGGAGGGGATGAATCATCCTTTTTGGAATAGCTTTAATTTAACGTGTTTTAAATATCGCTGGATCCCCTCATGTGAAATTTCTGAGAGTGAAATTTTCTATTATTCTGTATGTTGCTTATTTTTATGGATTTTTATTTATCTTCTATTCTTTGCAAACCTGTTTTCAGACCAAAAAAAGACAGATTTAGCGGAACTAAAATGAGGATGTGATTTAATAAAGCAATGGTGAGGGTGAAGCAGAGATTGGGTGAACTGTTTCAGGAAACTCAGGATACACTGTCTATAAATCACACTACACAGCTCAACATTTGGACATTTTCCGGTGTTCCACGTGGCATAAGGCCACAATCATGCCCAGCTAATTCAGAAAAGAACGTGTTCAGACATTTTTGACAGGAAGCAGTCAGTGACCTTTAAGCTGGAAATGTTCGGCCGGTATTGCGTCCTCGCTGTCTCTCTTCATCAGAACTGGAAGTGCAGAGCCGAGACACATCCTTTAGCTGAGGCAAGTATAAAATGCCACTCTGACAGCACCTGTCTGGTCTCGCGGTGCAGTAAAAAGATCAAACTCTGCTCATTTGTCAGCTCAGTGTAAAAGTACGCTTTAGTGCAGCAGTATTTTTAGTAGGAAATTCTTTCCTTGTCTTTAGTTATCAACGTCTAGAAAATATGCTGCTTACACATCTGTTATACTCTGCCAATCAAATCATTCACACAGGTATCACTCTTTTTTTTGTTAAAGAAACACCCTAAATGATTTTCATAGAATTCATACAACACCCGGACTGTTTTTCCACAGTAGCCACAAGAAGTACGCCTTTTATCGGTAAATGACCTCACTGACTGGAAAGATCAAGTCATAATAAGGATGAAGAAATTTTTTTTGCATTATTCATCAGCGTCTGACCCATGTCTGCATGTGTAGGCGTGTAAGATAGCAGGAACGTGCTCCCATTAGGGTATTAAATGAGTGCAGCAGGTTAAATCTGATGACATTTCTTCTCTCCTCTGTGAAAAGCAATTAATAAACCAACGGGAAATTATACCGCACATTAATAAATGTGTGGAATTCACGGCTTAGGCTTCAATAAGGATCTTATGAAGGATTGATAGTAGTAGAATCTACCATTCATCTGGCAAAAGGTTATTATCATCGGGTTTTATGACTATTCTTTAGCAAATTTATGCAGCGATCACAGGGACAGACGAAATGAGAGGAAGGGGATTCGGAACGAGCCCCTGATTCCATAAAACAAAATGACGCATGAAAAGCGGATAAAAGCGAATAGAATTTTATTTGCTATTTAATGTATCAGGCAATACATCACCCTCAGCATAAATGTCATTTACAGTCTACAACTTTTAAATAATTCACATCCAACACTCGTATTTACTAGTGGTTAGTTGATGGGCAAGTGGTTTGTAGATGTGCTGGTGAGACCCTAAAGTTTTCACGATTGTCGCTATTAGCCAGGCCGATTTTGCTCACAGTGCAGCTTCTGTTGACTAGATTAGACTGATGAAAAGATGAACCAAGAATAGTAATGAAGAGCTGAGCCTGAAACGTTCATGAGTTGAATCCCACAAATTAACACCACCTCCTGCAGCACTACCATCAGGGCATGCTTTACTATGTTGCCCACTAGTGGTAAGAATCAACTACTAGCAGTGTCATTTTTCCTTCAACCAACAGGTTTTTTGTTGTTGTTGTTTTTGGTTTGTAATTATGCACATCTCAGCCTGATGAGGCTGCTAGTCTGGCACTAAACTTATAGAATAGGTTTCTCTCACAGTGCATTGCAAATAATCAATAATAAAGTGAACGGTAAAGTCCTAGTACCATGATGGGTTTCATGCACACAAAGCAAAAAACAAAGCAAAAATAAAACACTGCTGTGTAGCATTAAGGTGGCAAATGTTCTCACAGAAAATAAATAGTCTATCAAGTCAAGTAATGAAAAATGCAGGTTTGAAGATTTCCTGCGTATAGTACATGCAAAAAAAAAGAAAAGTGCAAGAATTTGATCATTTTTGCTTAAAATGACAAGATAAAAAAAAATAAACTCAATGACTGACAAAACACTAAAAGAGTAAATCCTACTTTACGGCCTCCCCAGTCACAATATGAATTCAATGTCGAAAATTTCTAAATCCAAGTAAGTCTCCGACGCTGTATTCGAGTGAGTCTAGTGTTGGAAAAGACATCTGAGTTCCTGTAAATAGTGGCTTTAAAAGATGTCTGTGAAGGTTCTCAGTCATCCAGGTCATTGTAGTCAAAGGAGCTTGCAAAGAAAAGCGTCTGGACTTCTTTAAGTTGCTTGAAGACGTTTCACCTCTCATCCGAGAAGCTTCTTCGTCCTTTTGTCCCTCTGTGGGGGGAAACTCCCACTGGGTTTATATCTGGGACTCTCCACCATTTGACCTTAGAACTGAAGAAGCTTCTCGGATGAGAGGTGAAACGTCTTCAAGCAACTTAAAGAAGTCCAGACGCTTTTCTTTGCAAGCTCCTTTGACTGGCTTTAAAAGAGTTTCTTTGTACTATGATTCAGAATCAGATGCATTTGGTTCCAAATGAATTTCTGAATTATTTTATCAATACTTCATCTAAGCCGTGCTTCCCAAATGACACTGTACAAGCAAAAAGTGTCTGGTAGCAGGATTATCAGACCAGTCTGTTTCTGTGTAGCTGTAACGCCTCATTTAGGCTTTTCTATTTAAAACTTGTTGAGGGCTGGCAGCGCTCCCGCCTTGACAAGTACAGCTGAAAGCAGGTCTGCTGGCCCTGAAGGATGGGGCACGGCGGTGGCAGAGGGATCTCCGTGCTTGTTGTCTAAGTTCACAGGTGTGGGAACCTTCCCTCTATTCATTGTAGACTTCCCATCCCCGCTCCCCCCTCCTCCACCGAAACTTGTCTTGCTGTTTTCTCCTGTGGGGATGATTGTCCCTAGGTTGGGGTTGCCCGCTGCAGGATTCCCAGTGTGCTCCATGCTGGTCTGACAACAGCACAGCAACCGGAAAAATGCGCTTCTCATTTCTCTGCTGGACAGAGTATATATGAGGGGGTTAAGGGCAGAGTTGAGTACAGCGAGGGCAATGAACCAGTCCACCTGGTAGAGAACAGGGCACTTATCTGGACTGCAACCAACATCCAGCAGGAGCAGGAGAAACAAGGGAGACCAGCACATGACAAAAACCCCGAGCACGATAACCACCGTACGAAGCAAGGCCAACGAACGCTCTGAAGGCCGGCTGCTCACCCTGCGGCTACTGGAGGTCACCAGACGGTAGATCCTGATGTAGAGTATAATGATGGCCACCAACAGGGCACTGAACACACTGATGCAGAAAGCAATATAACTCTTAGCGTAGAGTGGCAGCACTGTGGAGCAGGAAGGCAGATTGTTTAGGCAGTTCCAGCCCAGGCTGGGCAGAGCGCTCAGCAGTACCGACACAAACCAGCAGGCTACCAGCAGTGCTAGAAGCCGACCTCGACCTGCTGTCTCGCAGGGGCGCAGGCGCACCATTGTCATGTGCCTCTCGATCCCAATGGCCAGAAGGCTGAAGGTTGAAGCGCTGAGGGCTACGAACATGCTGCCTTCTCTGGCCAGCCACTCCAGTGGCGTCAAGAAGAAGGTTTTGGGTCCCGAGGTAAAGATGTTAACCATATAAGCCACCCCAGCCAGCAGGTCCGACAACGCTAGGTTTCCAATGAGAAAGTACATACGGCTATGGAAGCGCTTATTCCTCCAGATGGCGAGGAGAACTGTAATGTTCTCCAGAACAATCAGCATGCAGATGAGGAGCAGCAGCACCATTTTACAGGCCCCACTGCCGCGGGGCCGTTCCCACTTTCCCGAGTGGTTGTAGTGGATGATGATGACAGGGTTCATCCCCTCCTCTATTTGATTACTCATACTGCCTGGCCCTTCTTGACCTTCCTCGGTCACACAGCAGAGGGCGGCACAGCACTGGACACAGAGGCAAGGGTGGTCAAGTTGGCAGAGTTACATCCTTTGAGGAGCCTGTGAAGAAAAGTTAAAAGATAACGTTTAAAAAATTACTCAGTTTAGGAACTAAAGAAGATTATTCTATAGAAACATCAAATCTGCATTGAAAAAAGGGAAAGTATTGCCAGTTTAAAGCTATGCAACTAAGCAAATAAGTACATCAGAACAAAAATCCCTTCAGACAAGTGTCCTGACCGAGACAGCAGTGGCACTTACAGGTTAAATAAAAAGGTCTCATGAAGAAACTGAAAAAATCAGATGATCTAAACTGTCAGTTCTTTTGTTCTATCCACTACCACTTACTTCAAGTACTTACAATTTTGGCATTATAGTTGAATAATGAGTCTGGGGAGTGTTTATGCCATCATTTATTATTCTTTCTTTCCTTCCTTAAAAAAAGAAAAGACTTTTATAAAGGTCTTTAAATGATCCAGAAATGCCCCCCTCACAATGACGCTGAACATAAATTAAGTTTCTTCCAGTTTCAGAAACAAGGCACAGTGTTACAGCCAACTTCTTTACAGAAGTAAAAAATGCCAGAGGCTTTAATTGAAATCCTGCCTCTGCGTAACTTTCCTCTTCCTGACTTTCCCGTTTTGTGAAAGTTATCAAAAATGACATAGAGCTCGTGCATTGTTAGCGCACAGTCTTTGCGCAATCGGTGTGTTTTTCTTCGCTCCCGCAGCAGTACGCTAGAAAGTTATCCTACCTGTCAGAATGTTGTGGCTGGCTTGAACATCCCTGCAATGAGCAGATTTCCAAAAATGTCGAAGTTGTTGTTTTATTTGTTTTTTTCCTCTCGTGCGTAAAGACGCAGAATCGATGCGTTCCAAAAAGGCGATACACTCGATGTAAAATTAAAGTTTCATGTTCTTGTCCGCTTAAAAATAGCAGCAAAGTAAAGACCTCCTTAATATCCACAGTAGGTTCTGTCCTAACTTTCCAGCGTCCTCTCACTTTGACTCTCCAGCTTCCAGCTTTGACTGTCCCGGTCTCACCCCTCACAGCCAACGGGGCGGGATTTTCCCTCACCTCTCCACTTGGTTTTCACCATTAATTATGAGTCAGGAGAGAAGTCGAACCCACGCGAGTCATTGCGCTACACTTTTGAGCCGTGCAGTGTGAATGATACCGTTTATTTTCCAAGTGTAGGTCAAAGCGATTTGTTTTTGTTCTCCGTGGTCAAAGTACAGCTAACTATTTCAGAGAACAACGTCTAATTTGTTTCTTCCAGTGTGTCATAAAATTGCTGCTCTTACTTGTTGCAACACATGTAATAGATTTTGCCCGTTGGGCCTTAATACGCCGCTTGCATTACATCACTGTAGCACGCCTGTTGTTTTGATCGTTTGATGTTTACCAGTATAAAATCATATTCCTTAAAAACACCGGAAATGTTGCAGGGGAAAATCACAAACCAAAGTATATCACTCTATCCAAAGGTTAATATTTCATTTTCATAACACAATCAGCCATGCATCATGTGTTTATCTGTGGAATATTCTCCTCCACTGACAGGCCAAGAAGTTGCTGGAATCCACTCATTGTTTTTCATGCTCAGATAAAGGATCACTGAGTCCCTTTAGTGCTCTAGGAGTGTGAGATAGGTCAGACCTCTCCCATTGGAGCCAACTGGAAGGATGGAAAAGGAAGAGTTACGAATTTCTTCTCCTTTTATGCACTTACTCTGAACAGATAAGATACTGGGTTATTCCGTACATGGGTGTCATCTCTAGCTTGTGGAGTTGTGACAGTTTGGTCATTGCAGAAAGGTCC